CGGCCGGGAGCCCAGCGCGGGGTGGCTGCCTGCTCTCTGTCCAGCTGCCAGCCCGCGGGGTGAATGAGAATATTTTAGGAGGATGAAGCCCTCGGGAAACCCTTAAGGACAGACCCGGCCCCTGAGCCCCAGAATTGCCTCCCGATGTAATTCCTCGGCCCCTCTTTCCACAGACCGTGACTGCAGCAGGTGAAGGCACGCTTGGCTGGAGCTGCTCTGCGGCCCGAGGCCCACACTGGGCCTGCACTCCACTGTTATCTCAGACTTAATGAAACTATGTTCAAGACGCTCTTTACCCACCACACAGATCTTTCCTTTGATTAGGCCCTTCCAGGTGGTGGAAACAATACAGAGACTCCTCGACCACCGGACTGACGCTAATTATCAGAGCTGCTCTGCCTGGCTGGAGGCCAGGCCTCCTTCTCTGGGGTCCAGAGCCCCGCAAGGTCGGCCGCAAAGATGGCCAGGGAGGCCCAGGCACTCAGGGACTACCGTGGACAAGGCTGCTGGGGTCTGAGCTACCCAGGGCCTGGGGTCCCCAGCTCTAGGCCAACATCAGTGCCCCATCCCTGTTGCTCACTCCCCCTCCAGAACCAGCCCGGAGTCCGCCCCACCTGCAGGCCCCACAGACAGGCCGCAGGGTCTGTCCCCACTGCTCTGGGATTCCTCGAGGGGATCTGGTTGGAGCCCAGACACAGCCAGGCCGAGGGCTGGTCAGAGGGCTCTGTGGGGAGCCCCTGTGCCCAGAGAGCACGTGAGAGGCCCAGTGTCCCTAGAAGAGGGGCAGGTGGGCATGGGCTCCCCAGAGCTCCCAGCGTGGCGCATCGTCAAGCCAGGACTTTGCACTGGACCTGTCTGTGCACGCTCACCCCATTCTGTGAGGGTACACTCCTCTCCTCCCACCTCACCGGCCAAGCTGGACCCCACGTTCTAAGCCAGCCTATTGCCTGGCCCCTGACAGCCTCACCATTCTGGAAGGGCCTCTCGGCCCAGAGCTGTCCCTGGAGGTAGGGTAGGCAGGGTACAGGTAGGGGGCTGATCTTCAGGTCTGAGCCATCTGACAGCTCCTCACTGCCCGGGCAGGGGCCCTGTGAGCCCCTAGTCCCTGACCAGCAGCCCGAGAGCATCCCACTCGCCCCTTCATTCATGCACAGACCCTTGTGCTCTGAGCTGCGGGGTCCCCACCCCCGCTCTGGCCAAGAACCACCAGCTGTCTATGGTGAGAGCACAAGTGAAGCCACCGGGGGCCGTGCCTGGCGGAGCAGCGGGCTCTGTGCGTGTGCGTGTGTGCGTGTGTGTGTGTGTATGTGCCCGCGTGAGAGAGACAGAGAGAGACAGAGAGAGAGAGCGCCCTCCTCCTGGGTCTGCTTGCCCATCAACTCCACAAACCGGGACCCAATGATGCCACCTTTCCCCGCCGCTGCTCCAGCAGGAGCTCCGGAAAGAGAGAAACTAATTACAGACGATAAAGGCCGCCTCCCAGCTGACAGATGCATTTTCATAACTTCTAACACCGGGGTGGTTGCAACCGGGAGGCTGCAGGGGGCGGGGAGCCAGAGCTGAGGCTGCAACACGGGCCAGTGTGCACCCTGGACCCCCGCCAGGCCGGCGGCGTGCCTCATCAAGGCTGGGGAGTCGGCGGGGGGGAGTGGAGGAAAGGGCGTGCAGCCTCCTCTGGGTGGTTTCCCTCAGGTACCCACACCTGCCCCAAATACCTAGGCTGCCAGGGAGGGCCCCGCACAGCTGCAGAGAGAGAGGCGGCCACTTGGGGCATCTCAGCAGACGCAGGGCGCAGGGCGAGGGGCAAGCCGCTTCCTGGCCTCCCACTGACTGCGGGCCCAGAGACCCCGCCCGGGACTTCCCGCCGCTCGGGCAGGGCCCCTCCTCTCCGGACGCAGCCTCAGCCCCACAGAGCCTGTGCCCGGGGTGCCAGAGGCAGGGGACCCCACCTGGAACATCTGCTTCACCCTCTGCCGGGGCAAGTTCACGTTCAGCTTGTGCAGCAGCTGCAGAACCTCGCCGATGCTCAGGCTGCCGTCCCCGTTCTTGTCCGCCTCGTCGAATGTCTGCTTCAGCCACTTTAGGGCCGAGTCAGGGACCAACACGGGTCCAGCAGGCCCAGCGCGCCCCCCCATCCCCTCCCCCAAACGTGTGACCCGGCCAGGGGCGGGAGAGCCCCACCCAGGGACCCGCCCCCCGAGACCAAGGATATTGGTCCCTAGTGCGCTGGCGCCGGGCCAGGCTGTCCTCGTCGCTGATGCCGGCCATGAGGTAGCGCAGGCCCGTGACCCAGGTGCGCGCCTCGTCCCCGCTGGGCGAGACCAGGTCCAGCGACTCACGGTGGCTGCCGTGATAGATGCTGAAGCAGCAGTTGGGGTCGAAGCTGCCGTCTGGGTAGCGCTGGAAGATCTCGGACTGCCGCCCTTCACTCACCTCCTGGATGGAGTCGATGGAGACTGCGGGCAGGCAGGGGCGGCCGCCGGTCACAGCCTGTCCCCAGGGGCTGGCGCCCCCGCCCGCCGCAGCAGCTTGCCCCGCTCGGCCCGCGAGAGACAAGGCCGGCACCTTTGTGGGTCCCCTTCCCATCTGAGGCTGGGGGAGCCGGGGAAGGGGTGTTTCAAGGGACCGTCAGGGTGGGGAAAAGAAAATGTACACATGTGCTGAGCCTGGGGAGCCCACCCCTCCCTGCTCTGCTCTGACCCTGAGGGCTGCTCCCCACTCCCCCGGGGTGTGAGAAAGGCTCGTGCTCTCGGGGGCAGCCCCTTCCCCCTAGTTAGCAACCCCAGGCGCGTGGCTTCTGCACTAGCCGAGGCTGCAGGGTGAGGGAGCCCAGACAGGCCAATTCTGTCCGTCAGGCTCCAGCCAGCTCGCGTCTCCACTCTGACAGGGCGACTGGCCCGATCCCGCGCCGCCTCCCTAGGAGGCTCTGGCTCCAGCAGGCCGCGGGGCCAGGGGTGCGGCGGGGTCCTGCCCGGCGGGCACCAGCTCCGGGTCCACCAAGGATTTCATTACTGGCCACAGCACCCGGGGCTCCACGGGGCCTCCGTTCCAAAGCTGAATTACCACGAGGAGACGAGTTCTCAGGTCTGTTCCTGCACAGGCGGCAGGACCCCTCCCAGCCGTGCAGGGCACAGGCATCCCCTCTGGGAGCCCGGCCCCCTGGGCTGGGCCCCGACCACCGCACCCTCCTGCCAGCTCTCACCACCTCCCAACACCACCCGCCCATCTCCTGCAGCCCTGCCCGGCAGGCTCCGTGCCCTTCTGGGAGCTATCCTGGGCAGGGCAGTGATGGTGGGGAGACTCGTGCCCTTCTGGGAGTTATCCTGGGCAGAGCTGTGATGGAGGGGGGACTTCATGCAGTGAGGGGGG